TGGCTGAAGTCGGACGCTTAACCGACTGTGCCACCCAGGCGCCCCAAAATTTTTTTTTTAAAAAGAAAAAAAAGAGGAAAGAAAACCGGTCTGGTCTTAGAACTAGCAGCCTGCCTCCTGTTCCCAAGATGTCTGAATCAGCTGGAAACACACATCGCCTTGAACTGCTTTGCGGGATGATGACGTCTGTTCTGAGTCCCTACCTGTTCTTCTGTGGGGGGCGGATGTGGAGACGCGGTCACTTGCTAATCTGCCCTGAGGGAAGGAGGCACCATGATCCTTTGCGCGGGTCACCCTTTGCGCGGGTCACCGTTGTGTATGAGGGATTACGAGGTGCCTAACCCAACCCCTTTGCTTTTCTCTTCTCTTCTTAAAAATAGAATGTTGGGAAGGTCATCACCAAAGGGTGCCGCTATGTTGTCATCGGCCTGCAGGGCTTCGCCGCGGCCTACTCCGCCCCATTCGGGGTAGCCACCAGCGTGGTCTCGTTCGTCCGCTAGCGGGCGCCGCGGGGACCGACGCGCTGGAGAAAGGATGGACGCTCTCCTGCTCCGGGAGCCTGTGAATCCGGGACCATTTCAGACCCGAACCCGCAAAATCCCTGGGGGAAGACAACGGCTTTCTTTGTTGAATTGGATGAATGCTGTGAATGGAACATCCCTGCCCATCTGCTGAGCTTCTCATGACTCTAGGACACGGGTGGCTCCGACGGACGATCCCGCAGAGTGAGGCCCGTGTTCGGTTTGGGGTTATGGTTTGCCCTCGGTTCCCAGGGCAGCGGAGGCGCTGTCCGGCTGTCTGTGCCCCATCTCCTTCCTCCACCCGTTTGTCACCAAGAAGCAAGGAAGGAAAATCTCCGTGAAGGTCGTGATGCTTCTTAGACTGTTGATGAGACGGGTGACTGTTTAAAGTAGATGAAGCTTGTGATTCCCACCCTCCTGTGACACCAGCACGCAGCCGCTGGTGATGAGGCAAGGAGGAAGTCCAAGTGCACATACAGGCTGGGTTGCACAGGTCGCTGGAGGGAGTGCCCGCGTTGTGCCCAGGCCAGCCCAGTGTGGCTGTGTGTTTGGAGCTGCACGCCTGTGGCCGGCTGACGGTGGGCATCCTGACTCCACTGCTGGGCACCGTCGCCTACTCCCCACGGCTGTCCGTGCCTCTGTGCCAAGCCACCGAGGGCACTTTGTCTCGGGAGAGAAGGAGACACTAGGCCTGGCAGGGGAAGTGTGCGATTTAGAGGAGGAACCAGGAAGTAGGAGACGGGTGTGTTGGAGGTAGACAAAGAAAGATGGCGGACGGGAGAAGTGGCAGGATGGGGGTCGGGTCTGGTGTACCGGTGCTGGGAAATCTTAGGTGGGCTGGGCTTCCAGCTCTGGGTAGGGACCAGGGAGGCTGGGCGGCTGGAGGTGCCATGGCTGGCGCTGAAAAACCCTCTGAGGCCCATGAGCTCTCACCGGCTGCCCGTGTAGCATCCTTGTCGTTTGCTGCCAAGTTTGTCCCCGGGACAACCCACGGACTGCCATTGGACCGTTGGCCGGGGAGGTGAAAGGAGAGGAGGCTCCTCTTCCCATACCCCTCGTGATGGGCCACTGTTCCACCTGTTTCCAGAATATCCAGAGGTCCAAAGTGATGGCTGCTGATCAGTCTGTAGAATGGGTATTAACACCTGCCTGTGGCCCCGACAAGTTTCCCAGACTCCGCAAAGGAGGTCTCCGGGTTCATGCCTTGCCGGTCAAGCCGACGAGGTGGCCCCCGGAAGTGAAGAAGGTGGGCAGACAGACGGGGACAGAAAAAGGAATGGGTGGAGGAGGAAGTTGTAGCTGGACTCAGCCTCACGTTCTGGAAACCCACGTTGCAGATGAACTTGGATCTGGTTCCTGGACCATTAGTATTTGTGAGGAAAAGAGAAAACAGACAGTCTTGTTTTAACTCAAATGAGGAAAGTTGATAATGGCACATTTTCACACATGTAAGATAAATATAGCTTGCCTGGTCACGCTGGGATTGGGGGGAGAGACGTGGTTTAGTGGGAGAGCCAGGCGGGCCTGTCCGGCCCACCAGTGACAGAAGGGGGACAGGAGGAAGCAGCCTGCCACCAGTGACAGAAGGGGGACAGGAGGAAGCAGCCTGCCGTGAACTTGAAGGATGCCCCTCCCCAGGGGGCGGGGGTGGGGGGTGGCTGAGAAGCTTACTGAGTCCCCTTGGGGGGATGGAAGCCTGACCCAGAAAGGGACCAGAGCTGCCAGGGCCTGTCCAGTGAAGACCTTCCCTACCCCACTCCCAAACTGGAGACACTATCAGACCAGACACATTTGACCCTGAAACTCATACAGTCTGGTTAAGAATTAACCCAGAAATTTCTTAAGGCGGAACCTCGCAGGGATTGTCCTGGGAGCCAGATTCGTGTGTACAGAAGATGAACTTCAAGCCGCTCAGCCTCCCCGGCGAGTGTTCACCTCCCCGGCCACCAGGCACCCGTGTGGCAGATCCCCTATCACCTGTTCTCTGTCCTCAGCTTTGTTTTTTTAACATCAGGGTCCACGCCACACTGGGAATTGAGTTTTAGAGCTTTGCTTTTACACGCTTGAAAGAGGCTTCTTTTGTATCCTTTTCTTGCCCTGTTATGTAAATAAAACCCTCAACTTGTGTAATGTTTCTGTGTGTAACGAGTTTTTCTCCCCCCTCACTTTCTGGCCTTGCCCCTGAGAGACTCCCGCAGCCTCCTGCCAAGGCTAACTTGTGCATCAGGTGAGGGCCAGTCAGGCAGCACAAGCAGCCTAGTGCCCCTCCAAGGCCCAAGGGGAGGGAGAGGGTCCCTATTCGCCAGAACTCTGCTTGGGTGTTAAGGGGAGGGGGGAGGGGTGGAGGCAGGGGGTTGTCTAGAAACCCAGCAGGAAAGGTTTCCAGCTCACATGTTTGTCATAAGTGAACATTTCCAGAACCTCCCATTGCTCAAAACCAGCCTTTGTGCTCCAGAGCCAAAACATGTAACTCGAAGATAGAGGCTGGGTCTGAAAAAGGAAGGTGGTTTCTTACTTTGCCAGGCAGAGGAGGCTGCAGCCAACCAGTGCCCCCAGGACTGCAAGCACCCCCCTCCCCCTCCCAGGGTAAAGGGCTGAGGAGTTTGAGAGAAAAATATAGGACCTGTATTTTCTGAGAGACATTTTACTTACTAGATTACCTCTATATTATAAAAGGACAGAACCCGGGGCGCCTGGGTGGCTCAGTTAAGCATCCAACTTCCGGCCCGGGTCATGATCTCATGGTTCGTGGGTTCGAGCCCCTCTGTGCTGATAGCTCAGAGCCCGGAGCCTGCTTCAGATTCTGTGTCTCCCTCTCTCTGTGCCCCTGCCCTGCTCATGCTCTCTCTCTCTCTCTCTCTCTCTCTCTCTCTCTCTCTCTCAAAAATAAACAAACATTAAAAAAAAAAAAATACACTCAGGAGCAGCTGGACGGAAGCGAAGCGTAGGGCAAGGTACGGGCACAGAGCTCCCATGCCTCTCCAAACGCTTCTCTCCGCAGATCTCCGTGTGCTCCCAACCTGCAAGGTCTCCCGAACCCTGTTTTCACGGAGGCTTCTTTACGTAGGATAATTGACTAAATCATTAGCAATTAGTAACAATTCAATCTGCATCCCCTTTCCTCTCCTGGGAGTCTGGAGGGAAGTGGAAAGTTCCAACCACGTAATCGTAATCTTCGGGCAACCTGCCCAAAACCTCAGGTTACCTGGGGGGCTTCCTCATTAGCATAGCAAAAGACACCTTGCCTGCTCTCCAGATTCCAGAAGGCGGGGCACCTGGGTGGCTCAGTCGGTAGAGCGGCTGACCCATGCTTTTGGCTCAGGTCATGATCTCACGTTTCATGGGTTCAAGCCCCACGCCTGGCTCCGCCCTGACTGTGCAGAGCCTGCTTGGGATTCATTCTCTCGCTTCCTCTCTCTGTCAAAATGAATAAATAAACTTAAAAAAAAAAAAAATTCCAGAAGGGTTTTAGGAGCTTGTGTCCAGAACAAGGACTAAGACCAACTATAGATTCATTATAAATCACCGCATTACAGGAAGGTAAAGTGAACCGGAGGGGTTCTGGGTAGGGGAGCCCTCGGATCATCAGGAGGTTCGGAGGTCATGTGTGGCAACCTGCTGTTGGGCATAAAGCAAAGCTGGAAGTGGGGGACCTTGATGTCTTCAGCCACTTCCAAATCACCCTGCTGTGCCTCTGCCCAGCACATGTTCTTTGTCAGACAGCCTCCAAGTGACATGTGTCACCAAGAAGCACCCAGAAGCAAAACTGGAGCTCAGGCCTCCTGTGCCTTCCCCGGGTCCTCCTGGGCATGGCGGTGCCCTCAGCAGAAGATGGCCGTGGGGCTGGGAGAGCCTCACAGGAGTTTTAGACTGAGGCAGCTGCTGTTTTGGAGTTTGTACCTACGATGTCTTCCCGCCCCCAACCCCCGCTCCTGACTCTGCAGGACTGACCAACTGAACTTAACTTTGTGACGCCATTCCCCCCCCCCCCCAAATGTTTTGAAAACTGTATAGATCTTCCTGTAAATTAATTTTAAAATACAAATGATGTTCAGAATTAAAGGGGTCAAATGCCCTCCGCATCTTGGAAGGGATGTCTTTGAGAGATTCTGTGGTTTGGCCAAAAGCCTGAGAAAAACCATCTCAAACTCCCTCAACCGTTCATGGGGAAATGTGGGAAAAAATCATAATACGTGGGATTTTTTTTTTTTTTTCCTTTTTAGGAGGCGAGGTTTTTGAACCAAACCACCCCCGTGACCTTCATAGCCAAGGGGAAAGGAGGTATCCTCAGATTTTCTGGAAGGCTCAGGGCCAGAACCCCCTAGGTGCGAGAGCCACAAAGGGCAGGGCCTGGAGGAGGAAGAAAGGGCAGAACAGAGATTTGGTTGCTGGACGCATTAGGCAGGATCTCCCCGGAGGGGGTGCCCAGCACCTTCCAGTCTGCACCATCTAGGACACAAATTAGGGTCAGAACTCAACACCTCCAGGGCTGGCTCTGCTGGTTTTTGTTTTTTTTTTTTGGTTTCTTTACAGGCGTTTCTCAGGTGATTTGCTTGCATAACCTGTAGACAAGGCTGTAAACAAGTGCGGCTGGTTCAAAGTTTACACAGAAATGAGAGCGAAAGCGCAGAGCGAACTAAGAACAAACCCTTCCTTTAATTCCAGAGCAAAGGCCTTCTGCCCAGACCTGCTTTCCTCATTCAAAATGGAGGGAAGTCATCTGGTTTTGTTTCCCTCCCTACGAGAGAGAGAGAGAGACGTTTGGAATCGCTGCAGAAGTAAAAAGGGGTGAGCTAACACCTTTTTGGGCTGCTTTGCAAGGGACTCACCTGCTGGAAAAAACACTGTCGGGGTTTATCTTCCTCCGTTGTTGAAAGAGCCTGGAGTTGGGTATTCTCACCATGCCCACACTCGGAGCCAGGAAGCAGGGGCACTCTCCGCTGTGAATGATGGGTTGTGTATTTGAGATCTTGAGCATTAAGGAGAAAAAGAGCATGGAAGTTATTTACGAACTTCTTTCATTGCCACTATTTTTCCATGCCAAAGCCAGTTTGGATTTCACTTTGGGCGCTTTCATTTCAGTAAGTCAGGGAGCCATGCCCCCGGTCCCACAAGCCCGGGATTCCACGTGCTCCGCCAGTTCCGCGGGTTCCCCGGGATTCCACGTGCTCCCCCAGATTCTGCGGGCTCCCTGGGGTTGCACCTGCTCCCGGGGATTGCACGTGCTCCGCGGGATCCCTCGTGCTCCCACAGATTTCACGTGCTCCCCAGCACGCTGCCTGCTCCACGGGTCTCAGCTCTGCAGCCCCACGGCGGCATCGGAGAGGAGGACCAGGACGCGGTCGACCAGCGATGAGGCGCTGTGCCGGCCGGGTTAACCCCATCCTTATGTTTGATTCTGGGGCCAGGAGGCCGTGAAACCGGGTCCCACGCTGTGCTCTTTCAGCCACTTGGAGCTGCCCCTCACTCGCGTTTCTCTCGGACTCCTTCACCGCGAGTGACCGCGAGGAAGAGGGAACTTTCACCGCAATCACATCCAGCTCGCATTCCTGGTCCCAATAACGTGATCCAAGAAGGCAGCTAGAAACTGCAACACGAGACTTGAGGTATTCACCAGCCCGTCATACCACGAATGTTTGAGATGCTGAGATTGCTTAGATGCTGCTTTACCAAAGGCAGGGCACAGAGTGTAGAGGCTGCTTTTAGGCAACAGGCTTCAGCGATGCAAACTTCAGTGATGGAATCTTGAGCGAGGCCAAAGGGCCCCCAGCGACCAGAGAGCGGCATGCAAACAGGCTCACTAAGCACACCCACCCCAGAATGGCCACAGGCCCTAACTGGCCAAAAAAGGGAAAAATTACATAGGTCCCCATACTTGCTCACTCAGTCCTGTGACTATAGCCCCGCCTCCCCACCACTGCTTGGAGACCGACAGTCTCTCCTTTGCTGCCCTGCCTGCTGCTCCCATGAGGTGTGGGCAATGAACTCTTCTGTTCTGCTTCGGGTGAATTCTTTCACCACTGGCTGCAGCTGCCCCTACCCAACTGGGATGTCCCACATTTTGTGGCACCTCATCCAATCGCAGCGCCCCACACAGAGGGCAGGATGGGGCTGGGCCGGGGAAGGGATCTGTGACCCCAAGTCAGTGTGGTTGCATTTACCATATTTGTCACACTTCTTTGGTGTGGTTTCTGCAGCCACAGTTACTGTTCCCATTGACTGGTAACTGTTTCCCTGGAGCCAGACCCCCATGGGGCCAGGGGCCAGGTGCCCAAGCCCAAGCCCCGAGGCTAGCAGGAAGCTGCCCAGCATAACAGAAAAAGCACTGGAATCAGACAACCCGGCTTCCAATCCTCTAGCCGTGTAACCTTGGACAAGTTCCACAACGCCTTTGAATTTCAGGCTTCGGTTTGGTTTCTTTTGTAAAGTAGAGGAAGTAATACCTGCTTCAGAGGCATATTTGGAAGATCAAATATGGAGTGTATTAAGAACTGAGCGTGCAGGATGTTGAGCGTGCTCCTTCCCCAGGTGCCCCTAGCTGAAAGTCAGCTGGCTGT